TTGTTGCTTCCTGGGTGGAATACCTAGGCTGTTTATCTCTAAATAATTGCTTCCATGATACTACAAGAGCATTCTGGGATGTGGTTGGTGACTGGTGAGGTGGCCACCTTTGTTCAGATTTAGTATCTTTGCTTTTTCTGGTCATTTGTGTATTTCTAATGCTTGACAGAATAAACCACTGCTCAAAATGTGGAGGAATTCAATTCGGTAGAACACTTAACAGCATTAAAAGTTTGTAATATAGGTAATGCAAAAATGACACCCTTCTTCTCCACTGATCTCTGTATCCAACCCTGTACAATGCATCTGTAGCTCCTCTCTCACTTCCTGATCTGAGCTGCTCTTGGGACTTGCTTTGGCCAACTGAATGAAATGGCAATGCCAGTGTGCCGGTGCTTCTGTTCTCTTGGCTCACTCTCCCAGCAGACTTGATAGTCTCATCTCATGAAATATCAGGGACTAAATACAGATGAGTTCAGTTGTCCCAAGCAAACTCATCCCTGAGAAGCAGACAGCAAGATTACTTCAATGTAAGTGAGAAAGGTCAGCCAGGATCAGTCCGAGACACCAAAGTTGACCATTGATGCATGAATGAGTTCAGCTCACACCAGGAAAATGACTCAGCTGGACAGTGAAGTTGTAAAGAACAGTGGATGCTCTTATTACACAGCATTTTAGGGATGCTTACATTTGACAGCAGCTGAATACTACAATGTTGTTTATGGAGATGATGATGCTTCTTATTTTTATTTTTTTGATGGTACTGGGGTTTGAACTCAAGGCTTTGTGCTTGCTAGACAGGTGCTCTTTTCATCCGGTTGGTCTTGCTTTTTTTCCTAGGTCAGCTTGGACCACAATCCTCTTATTTTAACGTTTCTACCACAGCTGGTGTAGCAGGCATGCACCACCACGCAGGGCTTTTTCCCTTGGGAGGGTCTCCTTAACTTTACTGACCTTGAACTGTGATCTTCCCCATCTCAGCCTCTCAAGTTAGGGAGGATTACAGGCGTGAGACATTGGCACTGGCTTCATTTAATTTTTTAATCTTAGCTACTGTTCAGGATAAAAATGTCCTTCACTTAGCCCTCAGAACAAGCGTCTGGTTAACTCTAAGCTCCCATTTATTTAACTTTGAACAGAACTTTTATAGCTCTACCATCAGAACTGCTGAACTATAAATACAGAAGGGCAGAGGCCACATCGGCTTTTGCAATCAGTGTTCACTCAGCACATTGTGAATTTTCTGATACACAGAATCACTCAATGAATGAAGGCTGAAAGTCCTGTTGACAAGGAGAAAGTGCCTCTATATAGGGAAACTGGATTACTGCAGAAAGTGTCTATTTTGGAAAGATTTTCCTATCTTTTCTTTTTGTTTTAAGAACTCAATTTAAAATACACCTTAGTTTTCTTCTCAAGAAGAAAAAGGATAGCCCCATTTTTCTACAAGTGATAATGCCTTATGAAAAATAATTGCAAACACATCTATAAATGCAGTCATATGAAGGTGCGGTATCTGTCGAGATCAGCCTTCAAAGGAATGACACCTTTGAGACATAACTGAGTTTTCCTCTGAACACTGGAGCTGGTTGTGTGTCCATTTACCTATGTTTTCTTATCTGAAACTCTTTGTGAGCAAGAGCACAGATTTGAAAGATGACAGTCCAAATTTAAAATTCAGATCCTATGATCCATCTGGCTTATAAAAATCAGGGTTTGAGTGAACAGACTTTTTAAAAAATTGAATAGCAACCATGTTCTGAGGAACTCAGAACCAGCTATAATCTAAATTTAAGGGGGCAGAGAGAAGAACTTGAATATTCTTTTCTTCTTAGAAGCAGTTTATCCATTTATTACCTTTCCATAAGTGATGTTTTTATTGCCATATATTAATTGCACAAAGGGGTTTCATTGTGATACTCAAATGATTTTTTTTGGTGGGACTAGGTTTTGAACTCAGGGTTTGGTGGTTGCAAACATGTACTTTTCCACTGGAGTGACACCTCCAGTCTATTTTTGCTCTGGTTATTTTGGAGATAGGGTCTTGAGGACTATTTGTCTGGGGTGGCCTCAAACCCCAATCCTCCCAATCTCAGTGTCCAAAGTAGCTAGGATTACAGATGTGAGCCATGGGGCCTGGCTATTAAAATGCTATTCTTAAAGAATCATAACTCACAAAATTTGTAAGAAATACAATACTAGGGAAACTGAGATCAGTGTTTACAGAGTATAAATAGAACTATTTGGTAAGATGTCCTAGGCCACTTTTCAGAGCATGCGATCCAAATTTAATAAATGGTATCCTAGGGACAGGAATATCATTTATATTCATTCTTTAGTGCTCTGCATTCATAGTGTAGCAGGGAGGAGGATCAGAAGAAAACAGTCTTGGCCTGAGTCCTGAGAAAGTAGCAGAGAGACAGGGATGGCATAGCAGGGAGATAAAACCTGAGAAATCTGAACACGAAGAAGGTCATGTACCACCAGGGAGGGGAAAGTCATGTAGCACTAGGATAAAGTAGCCAATAAAATTAAATATAACCATATACAGATTAGACCTTGCTTTTTGCTTCTGTCACCTGCTTACAAGGGTTTATAAGGTGAGACCCCTTTGTTCTCAGGGCTCAGCCTTTGGACATGAGTGCGCTGAGTCTGTGCTGGCACAAGAAAATATTGCTTCCTGCTAATTGCCTCAGAGTCCCGTACCTCAGCTAGCAACCTCCCACAACAATAGGACACAGGTTATACAGAGGAGCTACATCTTCTTAGTGACAAATACAGAGCTTGATAAGATCCAGGGATGGCCCGTGGGATGGGGAGGACCATATAGCTGCCCAAGGAACTGGTTTAACTGGCCTGGACCATTTCCAATCACTTTCTAGTTAGGCTGAGAATTCTGACTCCCACGTGTTTTAACAAGTATTCTTATTCCTCTACCCCCAATAAAGACATGAGGAAAAAAATTCATCCTTTAAATTTAATTTTTAAAATTTTATTTGAAAAATACAATACACAGCAGAGAATTATCTCCTCCCCTACTGCTCTTTCACAAAGGAAACCATGGTAAATGCAATGAGCTATTTGGCTAGGATAGAACCTGAGAAAAGAGAGGCCCAGTTAGAAGTGGAATAGACAAAGTCTGTCAAAGAAGGTTCACCTCCCTTTTAACATAAAAGAGCCTTTTAAGTTATCTTAGGATTCAGATAAAACATGTGCAGAGTTTCTGCCATGCAAACAGAGACTACTAAAATTTTCAGGTTGACCAATTTATACTGACCTGGGCCCCAAGTAAGAATAAAAAGGAGACATTTTTATCAGAAAGATATGTGTTTGCCTGCATTTGCTAGACTACATATGTACATATTTACATATTAATATTTTCTTAATGTGTTTTTCATTATTGTCAGTAATAGCATCTTTGCTGGCTTTTCCCTTACTCACATGTATCTTTTTTCCCCCTGTGTTTTGTGACAGGATCATTCATTGCACAATCTTAAACCCATGATGCTTAAATACTAGAAATGACCTTACTCTGATCCTGGGCTAAATCTGTTTTTCTTTTAAGGAATTTATAACTGTTGCATTCTGACCAGGTTTAGCAAAGTACAAAGATATGACAGTGACATACTTAAATATAGCTAAGGCTTCTACCAGGAAAAACGTTCCTGCTTGAATCCCTGGAACAATGTGATCTAATTGAACAGACAAAACTCTGGAAGCTTTGCTGGTAGTCTGCCTTCTAAAACATTATGGCATCCCCCTCACTTCTGTTCCCAATAAGTTAATTTCCCATTGCCTAAATAATTAGTGTTTGAAGAGGGTCAAGACAATCAAAGTTCTTTCGTGTTCTAAATTTCCAAAAGAACTGAATTCTACAGAGACCTAAAATTAGTAGAAATACGAATTTTCTTTGTTCCACCCTAGTAAAAGAGTTTTAACTCCTACAGGGTTGGAAATGTGTAAGTCACATCCATTTTGGGAGTAATGGACACATCTTTGGTTTTGGTTTTATTTATTTGCTTGTTTCTTTTGAAATGATGGAGTTAATTAAAAGTTTACTTTCAAGACTAGAAAGATTCATTTCAGTCAAATCACTATTGTTCATATAAGCCAAAGTTGTTCCTTTAGAGACTGCAAAATGATTGTTTTGGTGATTTTCATTCTTAATTCCACATTCTAATTGTAAAGTCTGTCCCTCAGGCCTTCTCCTGAATAGGGGAGGTGGGGCTCAGGTGGGAAGAAAGATTTCTTGATTTGGGCTTCACTTTTATAAACACCCCCATAGCCTGACCTTGGACATTCATTATTTCAAACAAGGTTATAAATAGGTTACTATATAGCTGTATATTTGAAAAGTGTTCATTCTTAAAAAGGCAACATTCAATATTCAATCACAAAGCAGAGCCTTTGTTATCCTATTTTGCATTTCTTCACTTTTTTTTTTAAATATAGGTAGTTACCCAGGTCTTTAGTGACCCATGAAATGCCTCAGTATCCAAAAAGATGTGTTAGCTCTGGCATATTTGAAAGGAATATAACTTCAGAGTCAGAAAATGCGAACTGAAGTTTTAACTGCCTTTGTTACCAGATGTGTGGGTTGCTTATTGTTTCTTGGTTTCATTTTTCTAATCTGTAAAATAAAGCCATACTTGTAACGTTTACTTGGGGTATTATGTGGATTCAATAGATAATAAATGGAAATATATTTCATACTATAAAGTACTATACTAGTGCAAAGTAAAATACATTAATCGTATTTCTGCCATTGATATAAATTTTGTGCTAGGTTATGGTTCTTTCCAACTTAAGCTATATGAAATCTTGACCAGAAAAAGTCTAGAATGGAGCCTTTGACCATTCTTAAGACACTGTTAGCAATGGAAAATTACTCAACAATAAGTTTCACTGCTGGTTTACTCATTTAACCTATTCTAAATACAGCCTGCATTCAAATCCTACAAGTCAACAATTAAACCACAGCTGTAAGGAGAAAAATTCCAAATAAATAATTTTTAAATTATGATACATTACTTATTACAGTAAAAATTGGCATTTTCCCCTTCAAAAACAGAAGCACCAGTCTTAGAGTGGATGGGATGAATGGTATTTTAAGTGATGTACAGCCTAAGATAATGTGCAAACATTAGTTTAGTACAGGATATTCTTTCTAAAAGTAAAGTCATTTCACACACTGAAATCTGTTAGGATGGAAATAATGTCATGCTGAATGATAAAATAAAAACCCCCGTGACTTTCAAAGTCCACTTCAAATTAAATATAGTGTACTGCTAAATAGATATATGAAAAATTAAAAAGTCTTAACTAGCCCAAAATGGAGGATTTTCTTATTCAAATATGACTCATGGAGAGGTTTCCTTCCACATAGTCACAGAGATTCTTTGAGAAACTGAAGTGAACATTTTATTTCAGGATTAATTTGTTCATTTGGTCATCTCTCTTTTTTTTTTAATTGAACACCTACTTTGTATTAGTCTTCCCTGTAGGTGCCGGGGATACAGAAAAGAAAGACACAGTCCTGCCCTCGAGGAGCTCACAGTCTAGTGGGGAAAACAGGCTGACATTGATTTTAAAATTATAAAAATTATTAGACAACTTTACAAACTTCTTTTGTGATCAAACAAACTTTGGGTGTTATGAATGGATGGTAAAAAGGGAAGATGTCCAATGTAGGGACAAGCCATCTGCTTCAATATCATGTGACTTCCGCAAAGGCGGTGATGTGGTTCTGTGAAGAGAAAACGGGATCACAAAGTCAGAATCTTGGGGAAGTTGGTTTTGTACAATAGTTAGAGCTTTTACAAATTACCATCAGCTTCATATAGAAATGTAGCCCATGTATGTTTACAGTTACCAGAACATATAGTGTTAGGGAACTAAGTTCTGTGTATTATTACATAACTTTAGCTGATAATTATATATTTGTTCAATAGCCTTAATTAGCTGAATAGATTAAAATGTTATACCTGCTTTATTCAAAATGAAGACTGGCATTGGAGAAATAAAAACAGCAACACCAGACACATTAATATTCTTTTGGGTGTTAATGGAATTTTAATGCTGCATGTTGGGGTTTCAGATTAATTGCTCCCTGTGAGACAGATGGTGTGGAATGTGGTGGTGAAATGCTAAGACTGAAATGGCATTTGTTAGTTGACAAAAATCTACTTAAATGCTTCATTTTTGATGCAGCAATTCATACTCCAGACTGGAATCTCTGTGTTTTCAACCATAGGATTCTTTACAGAGTCTTTTCTCTTTTTCTTTTAAAGCAACAGATTGTATAGGAAGAAGCCTTTTGTAGTAGCTAGCATTTAAATAGATTCAGGCATGCAGTAGTCTGTCAAGGCTGCTAAAATATTGCAATGAAAAATTGACATTACATAATTAACGGTGCCACATATGGGATGCTGGTAAGATCTAACCTGAGTGGCAACCTCCACAAGGAACAGCAACAAACCCAAAGGGCTTCACCACCTCACTGCCTGTGAATGAATGATGTCACTGACAGAATTTCTTACATTGGATGCATCCATGTAACTTCTTCAGCATACACACAACTTCTTTTAAGTTCAAGTGGTCAGCCAGTTAAAACATACTTAAAATGTGCCTGGAGAAATTAAATCTCATTTTCATTGAATTTAGGCATACTAACCCAAAACTAGAAGCATAGCACTGACTACAATTAGGGCATTTTTTTCTAGGATTAACCAACTTATTATTAAAGAAAAACAGTATCAGTAGGAATCAGAAGTGAGCTAAGCATGCTGTTGATAATGTTTAAGCTCCCATTTTTAAAAATGCATGATGAAAATGCTGGGAAATTCAACAGTTCATCTTTAAGATTTCTTGAGTTTTTCTTACAAAAGAGCAGACATGACTTTAGGACAGGAAAGGTTATCAGTTACATAATACACTGTGATTGAATAAACTCCATAAGAACTGTAGAAAGACTACATTACAATTTTATTTTTAGTGGCCCCACAGGGAAGGGAAATCATTGAGCTGAGAAAATACAATTTGATACAGAGTGTTTCTGTACAAAACTGATATGAGTGTCACACCTCTGGACAGGATTTAGAATAAAATACTCACTCGAAAGATGTTAAGATAGAAACTGAAGATAAATCAATCAGTGGCAACTGGCGAGCATGGAAGTGGTGAAAAGGGGACAGTGTACAGAGAGACAGAAGTAAGTAAAAGATGATGTTACAAGGCCACTGGCCTAGGTCACAGAGTTCCCAAGACATGAAGTAGCCACATGCTCACTAAATTTGGGAAGATAGTCCTAAGTGAAGGGGACAACCATCAGCCTGGAAGGCAGAATTCAGTAAGGAACGATCCTAATAAGCCAGAGAAATTATAAATACCACACTGATGTTCAATGCAAAAATTGACAGAAGCAGAGGAAAACCAAGTGCAGAAGTGCAAAGCATAGAACAAACAAGAAGATAAGCAGGGTGACTGTAAATGTCAACCATGTAATCTGACCCTGTGGAAGAGTAAAAGATAGACTAATTATAAACAAGGACAATAGGTGTAAATCAGAGCTGTCCCCAGAAGGACATGAGGTCACCTCATGCTCTGATTTGCATGTTCCCCCCGGAAAGTGTGCATTGGAAATGCAAGCACTGGGCGGGGAGGAGCTGATAAGGGGACTAGGACTTAAGTGTGGAGCACTTGTCAATAAATTAATGTCATTATTTTGGGAGTGGGTTCATTATAACAAGGCAAACTCAGTACCCTGATTTGTCTGTCTCTCTTTCACACTCACTCACTCACTCTCTCCCTTTCTTTCCCTTTCTCTCCTTCTCTTTGCCCTTCTGTCATGGGATTATGTAGCTAGAATGCCCTCACCAGACACTATCCCTTGATTTTGGACTTCCCAGCCTCCAGAACTATAAGAAATAAATTTCTGGGGCCCAGTGTGTTGGCTCACACCTGAAATCCCAACTATTCTACTAGGGAAACAGAGAAAGGAACATTGTAGTCAGAGATCATCTCTGCTACAGCCCAGCCTGGGCCAAGTTAGCTTGATACCTTTTGTGAAAAACAAATTCCTAGACAAAGTAATAAAGCAAGAAGAAATAAAAGGAATACAAATAGGTAAAGAAACTGTCAAACTACCCCTATTTGCAGATGACATGATCATATACCTCAAAGACCCAAAAAACTCCTACATACCATAAATAGCTTCAGCAGTGTGGCAGGATACAAAATCAACTTGCAAAAATCAGTAGCCTTTTTATACACAAACAATGAACAAATTGAGAAAGAATACAGGAAAACAATTCCAATTACAATAGTCTCAAAAAATCAAATACTTAGGAATAAACTTAACAAAAGATGTAAATGACTTTTACAAGGAGAACCACAAACCACTGAAGAAAGAGATCAAAGAAGACCACAGAAGGTGGAAAGATCTCCCATGCTCATGGATTTGCAGAATCAACATTGTAAAAATGGTTATACTACCAAAAGCTATCTACATGGTTTAATGCAATTCCCATCAAAATCCCAAGGACATTCATCACAGAGATTGAAAAATCTACCTTAAAGTTCATTTGGAAGCACAAGAGACTGCGAATAGCCAAGGCAACACTCAGCAAAAAGAGCCATGCTGGAGGTATCACAATACCTGACTTCAAACTATATTACAAAGCAATAGCAATAAAAACAGCATGGTACTGGCACAAAAACAGACATGAAGACCAGTGGAACAGAATAGAGGACTGGGATATGAATCCACACAGCTATGCCCACTTGTTTTTGACAAAGGCACTAAAACCATACAATGGAGAAAAGACAGCCTCTTCCACAAATGCTGCTGGGAAAACTGGCTATCTGCTTGCAGAAAACTGAAACTAGATCCATGCCTGTCACCCTGTACTAGTATCAACTCAAAGTGGATTAAGGACCTTAATATCAGACCCAAAACCTTGAAGTTAGTACAGGAAAGAGCAGGGAATACTCGGGAAACAACAGGTGTAGGCAAGGACTTTCTCAGTAGAACTCAAGTGGCCCAGCAAGTAAGAGAAAGGATGGACAAATGGGACTACATGAAATTAAAAAGCTTCTGCACAACAAAAGAAATGGTCTCTAAATTGAAGAGACCACCCACAGAGTGGGAGAAAATATTTGCTAGCTAGACATCAGACAAAGGACTGATAAACAGAATATACAGGGAACTTAAGAACTAAACTCTCCTAAAATCAATGAACCAATAAAGAAATGGGCAAGTGAACTAAACAGAATTTTTTCAAAGGAAGAAATCCAAATGGCCAAAAAATCTTTAAAAAATTCTTATTATCCCTGGCATAAAGGAAATGCAAATGAAAACCACACTAAGATTCCACCTCACCCCTGTTAGAATAGCCATCATTAGAAACACCACCAACAACAAATGTTGGCGAGGATGTAGGGAAAAAGGAACCCTCTTACACTGCTGGTAGGAATGTAAGCTAGTGTAACCACTTGGGAAAACAATATGGAGGCTTCTTAAAAAAACTAAAAAAATATCTACCATATGATTCAGCAATCCCACTCTTGGGGATATACCCAAAAGAATGCAACACAGGTAACTCCAGAGGCACCTGCACACCCATGTTTACTGCAGCACTACTCACAATAGCCAAGTTATGGAAACAACCAGGATGCCCCACCACTGACAAATGGATCAAGAAAATGTGGTATTTATACACAATGGAATTTTACTCAGTCACAAAGAATGAAATTTTGTCATTCACATTTAAATGCATGGAAATGGAGGACATATCTTAAGTGAAGTTGACCCAAAATCTCATGTTCTCCCTCATATGCTAATCATAGACCCAAAACAAATGCAGTGATATTATGGGATATGGGTCACATGCTAAGGGGAGAACACGCAGGGAGGCATAGGGAAAGGGAAGGAAACCTGAAACTTGAATGCGGTTGATGTGCTTACTGCAGAGGAGTGAACAAAGTCATCTTAACCTGGCAGAGGCCACTATGGGACAGGGACTAGGAAGTAGTGAAGAGGTCTGGTAGAGATGAACCAATTTGGGTTGTAATACACATGTGCATGGAAGCAACGCTAGGAATCTCTCTGTATAGCTATCTTCATCTCAAACTAGCAAAAACGCTTTGTCTTTCTTATCACCTTTTATGTTTTCTCTTCAACAAAATCAGAGAACAAGAGGGCAGAACAGGTTCTGCCCTGAGGTGGGGGTAGAGTGGGGTAAAGAGGCAGCCCAAATGTATACCCATGTAAGGAAATGTAAAAATGACTTAAAAAAAAAAAGCAAAAGAACTAGGGGTATGACTAAAGTGGTAGAGTTCTTGGCTAGGAAGCCTAGGGCCACAAGTTCAATCCCCAGTACCTGCAATCACAAAAAATAAGTGAACGAAAAATACATTTCAATTATAAATAAACATTCTACAGTATTTTGTTAGACACCTTAGTAACAGGCACTAAGCACGGAACTGTAAGGGTTCTATTAAGGTCCAGAAAGTACCGGACTTCAGTCTTTTCTTTTAAAATCACAAGCTTCAGTGACCATTGTTTTCCTTCCCTGGCTCATAAATTAAAACCCTATTACCTTTTCCTTAGGCCAACTCATTTCCAAGATAAACAATAAAGGACCAGAGTTCTGTGCAAAATTCTATGCTTTTTTGGCAACTAACCCTCTGCATTTCACATCAAATGATGGTTTAACCTCTGCGATGACTTCTCCTATTTGACTAGAA